AGCAAATCCATTCTAAAAGGGAGTATACAGCAATAAACACCTACATTATGAAAAAAGAAAGATCTCAAATAAACAACCTAACTTTATACCTCAAGGAACTAGAAGAAGCCCAAGTTTGCAGAAGGAAGGAAATAACAAAGATTAGAGCAGAAATAAATGGAGACCAGAAAAACAATAGAAAAGATCAATGAACCAAAAAGTTGGTGGGGTTTTTTTTTTCTTAAAGATAAAATTGACAAACCTTTAGCTAGGCTAACTAAGAAAAAAAAGAAATCTCAAAGAAATAAATTGGAACTGCAAGAGGAGATACCACAACTGATATCACAGAAATACAAAGGATCGCAAGAGACTACTATGAACAATTATATGCCAACAAGTTGGATAACCTAGAAAAGAAATGGATAAATTCCTAGAAGGATACAACCCACCAAAACTGAATTATGAAGAAATAGAAAATCTGAACAGATCAATAACAAATAAGGAGATTCAATCAGTAATAAAATACCTCCCAACAAAGAAAAGCTCAGGACCAGATGGTTTGCCTGGTGAATTCTCCCAACGTTTAGAGAAGAATTAATGCTAATCCTTCTCAAACTTTTCCTAAAGATTGTAGAGGTGGAAACACTCCCAAAATCGTTTTATGAAGCCAGCTTTACCCTGATGCCAAAGCCAGACAAGGACACTACCAGGAAAGAAAATTACAGGTTTATATCCCAGATTGTGAAGATCAATGCAAAAAATCTCACGAACACATTTGTGAACTGAATTCAGTAGCACATGGAAAGGCTCATAACCATGATTAAGTGGAATTTATCTCTGGGGTACAAGGATGGTTCAACATAGGCAAAGCAATAAATGTGATATACTACATTAATTGAAAGAAAGGTAAAAATCATATGATTATTTCAAAAGGTGCAGAAAAAGCATTTGACAAAATACAACATCCTTTTATGATAAAAACTCTCAACAAATTTGGTACAGAAGGAATATACTTTAACATAATAGAGGCTATATAAGACAAGCCCACAGCTAACAACATACTCAATGGTGAAAAAGATTGAAGGATTTTCCTCTAAGGTCAGGAACAAGACAAGGGTGCCCACTCTCAGCACTCCTATTCAACATAGTACTTGGGGTCCTAGCCAGAGCAGTCAGGCAAGAAAAAGAAGAAAACAAGGCATCTGAGTTGGAAAGCAAGAAGTATAATTGTCTTTGTTTGCAGACAATATGAACTTATATGTAGAAAATCCTAAAGACCACACACACACACACACACACACACACACACACACACACAAACTATAGAGCTAATCAGTGAATTTAGTAATGTTGCTGGATACAAAATTAGCATACAGAAATCACTTGTGTTTCTACACACTAACAGTGGAATATCTGAAAAAGCAATAAAATAGCCTCATTCACCATAGCATCAAAAAATAAATAAATAAAATACTTAGGAATAAATTTAATCAAAGAGGTGAAAGATCTATATACTGAAAACATTAAGACGTTGATGAGAGACATTGAAGATACAAATAAGTGGAGAGTGTGGTACTGAAATAGAAGTAGATATGTCAATCGGTGGAACAGAACTGGGAGTCCAGAAATAAACCCATATATTTATGGTCAGTTGATTTTCAGTAAAGGTACCGAGGCTATTCTATGGGGAAAAAGAATAGTTTCTTCACGTATGGTGTTGGGACAACAATTAGATATCCATATACTAAAAAATGAAATTGGACCCCAATCTCACACCAAATAAATCAAATTGAATCAAATACCTAAATGTAAGGGCTATAGCTATAGACTCTAAGAAGGAAACAGAGATTAACTGTAGAATTACTGCTCTTATAGCACTTTTGTGATATGGTAGGGTGGACTTCAGTGACTGGATGCGCCTGTGGGCCAAGATTATCTTTCATCAATCTGTCTTTCATGCCTTGCACCGAGTTGGTACTCAGTAAAGTCAGAAGACTAAGGGAACGGAAGAGACAGACAGTGACAGTTTCAGCTATACTGAGGTTTACCAAAAAGGTTTTATATAGTCAAAAACTACTTTGGGTGTCCTTGTTGTGCTTGAGTGCCGCAGGTATGGGTTTCCTCCCTGGGCCTTTTCTTTCACCAAAATGGAATTTAGGGGGCATATGAAGAGGTTCCCCCCAGCAATAGGTACCTGTCATTTGTAGATCTGATAATTTGGGCATGTAGCCAGTGTCTTTAAATTTGACTCTGCTACTGCTGACAGTATGGATTCATAGCATGTTTTTAAAAATTATATTAAACTAATTCTTAATTATGGAGTATTTGGACACCTAAATATAGGTACAGCCTCAGTTTGAATACCAAGGCAGCTATTAATGAACTGCTGTATTGAAGGTTACAAAGTTCTTTCTTATGTTGAGCAGAACATCTTTTTCTCTAAGTGTCTACTGTTTCTCCAGTGGAATGATGCCAAACAAGTCATGTATTTGAAATAATAATGCCTTCTCTTTCAGCCCTATGTTCATTCCTCCTGACCCAAAGTATATGTTGTTCACCCCAGCATTTTAATCTGTCATCCATTTTACTTATGGGTGGCTTACACCACTGACAGTTTGTGTGAGTTCTGGGAATGCAAGTGAATTTCAATACGATGCCAGGCAAAATACAAAACACATTGATTTCTTTTTTTTTTTTTTTAATTTTTTTTTTCAACGTTTATTTATTTTTGGGACAGAGAGAGACAGAGCATGAATGGGGGAGGGGCAGAGAGAGAGGGAGACACAGAATCGGACACAGGCTCCAGGCTCTGAGCCATCAGCCCAGAGCCCGACGCGGGGCTCGAACTCACGGACCGCGAGATCGTGACCTGGCCGAAGTCGGACGCCTAACCGACTGCGCCACCCAGGCGCCCCAAAACACGCTGATTTCTAAGCAGCTGCCTTTATAGGGTGATGTCTAAGTTTCCTACCTGTTCCCAAATACATTTCCCACTAGAAGGTACAACTCTCACATTATTTGCTTAGGTTCAGTGTTGAATTTTCTTGGTAAAGTGCAGGCATGAGATGCAGGTTGGCCACCACTTTCTCCTATTAATACGGTAGCATAGATTAGTTCTGCAGACTGGAACCATATAGCAAGGTGATGTGGCCATGAGACATAGGATTAGAGGGGTTTGAATGGGAGGAATAGCACAGAAATGCTGGAATAGAGGCCACTGTGGGTAGGGGCGCTTAGGAGGTTCAGTCTGTTGAGCAGCCGACTCTCAATTTTGGCTCAGGTCATGATCTTGTGGTTTGTGGGGTCGAGCCTCACTTTGGACTGTGGACTGACAGTGTGGAGCCTGCTTAGGATTCTCTTTCTCCCTCTCTCTGCCCCTACCCAGCTTGCGCTCACTCACTCTCGCTCTCTCTCTCAAAAATAAATATTAAAAAAAAAGCCTTTGCTAGAGACATAGGGAGAGGAAAGGCACTGTGGGAATGCACCTTATTACTTCCTTTGTAAGTTTTCTGAGTTAATCCTGGCACAGTGAAACTTAAAAAGTAAATCTTTTGCTACAAAAGAGTAGCTGTGATGATGTATTTCATTCCAAAGCTAAATAGAATCATGCGAGGAAATAATTTGTTTGGGATCGTCTATATGGCTATGTATCCACCTTGACTTCTGGCAAATTCTTATTTATCCTTCAGACTACATGTGCCATAGGGAGGCTTTCCACCCTGTCCTCACCCCATCCAGGTAATTAATAACTCCCTCGAGGGGCGCCTGGGTGGCACAGTCGGTTAGGCGTCCGACTTCAGCCAGGTCACGATCTCGCGGTCCGTGAGTTCGAGCCCCGCGTCGGGCTCTGGGCTGATGGCTCAGAGCCTGGAGCCTGTTTCCGATTCTGTGTCTCCCTCTCTCTCTGCCCCTCCCCCGTTCATGCTCTGTCTCTCTCTGTCCCAAAAATAAATAAACGTTGAATAAAAAAAAATAAATAAATAAAAAATAAAAAAATAACTCCTCGAGGCATACTTTTTTGGGTACCACTTCACTGTATTGTATGATTTATTTGCCTGCCCCACTGGACTCTGAGTCCTTGAAGACCCTAGACTGTGTCTCATTCTTCTCAGTATTCCCAGTGCCCACATGTGCTCCTCAGTCACTGGCATATAGTAAGTATGATAATTGTTTGTTGAATAGAGTTGTAGCACAGGGAAAATAACAGCTGCACATATTTGTAAAGGCATCATTCTCACCGGACATGTATTAGGCACAAATTGGAGATCAGGAAACATAGGTGAGTAATAAGATAATCAAAAACTCCTACTTATAGTTCCCCCTTGTCAGTGGGATAGGTGACAGTCACCTGCATATAATCCTTACACAATAAGATTCATGTTATAATACAGGTATTCTGGGTTTTGGATTGGGTTATAAAGTCATAATGTTGCATGCGTCAGACAAAAAAAAATCACGTGTTCATGAAATCTCTCGAATAACTGATTTAGGCCTTTGGAAGCTCAAATGGAATAAATTAAGGAAGAGACTACATTTAATTTTGACTCCCCGCATAAAAATTTAGTGCAGTGCTATGTATTTTGTAAGTACTTAAATATTTGTTTCTTGGCTGACTTAGATTGCTTAAGGAGAGGGTTGGGCCTAATAAAAGGAAAAAATTTATTGTTCATAAAGGTGATTTTAATACTCTATCCACCCTATTAAAGAAGGCGAAGTATCCCTACATCTCTCTAAGCTCGAGCAGAACAGCCATTGATTGGTCTTTCATATTTAAGCAGGATCTAGTTTGGAAACAAAGGCTTACACTGAATGTCCTCTCTGGAGAGCTCTTTCTTTTTTGACAGGATTTGTTCTTAGAATGTGTTCTGTTAATAAATCAATTCATTTCCTATCTGTAGCTTGCCAAGGGAATTGTCTTTCTTGGTAGATGGCTTTGAGGGCACAGAAGAGATTGTTATTCTTTTTTCCTTAGTTAGCATATGGGCTACTTTTGACTATTTGTCTTTTATTTATTTATTTAGGAACCTAAATTCCAAGGTGGAAAGGAGTCAGAGCTGCAGTGACACAGCTCAGGACAGAGCGAAGAGCAGACTCAGAGCAGCCCCAACAAGCAAAACCAAGGTACATCTCAGACACAGGCTTCTGGAGCTCTCTACTCCCATCCTGTAGCTCCCTGCACATGGCCACGACAGAAACTATTGCGCACGCTATTTGTTTTGAGTAGGCTCCACATCCAATGTGGGGCTTGAATTCATGACCCTGAGATCAAGAGTCATGTGCTCTTGAGCCAGCCAGGTACCCCAGAAACTATTCCAGACAAGCAGAGGCAGAATGGGTCCTGGGTATACTAATTATGTTGGAGAAGTTTGCGAATAGATGGAAAGAAAGAGAGTTTGCATTGAATTAGTAGCCAGAAGGGTGGAATGAGGGCCAGTAGAAGAACTTTTTTAAAAGTTCTGGATGAGGTTTTTTTTCCCCTGTAGGTTTTCAATTTTATTAATTGTTTCAAGTGTGTAGGAATTTCTGCAAATGGTGCATATTCTAGGTTAGGGATTTTCCCCGTTTCTTAGGCTCACATCACCCTCCGTCCCTTTTCTTACCCTTCCCCCACTGCCCTTCTACCATCATAAAAGAGTTATGAAGAAAAAAAATACATACGCATGTATGTATAATCTTTTTAACTTCTTTTAGGTCACAGCTATAACCCCAGCCTCCAACCCCATCATTGGTGTCCTCTTGTCCACTCAGAACAACCGCTGCCTCTCAGCCCCTGACTTAACCGTTGAGAAGCGTCTACCCTTCAGCTCCCTCTCATCCTTGACTTCCCTGCATAAGCCCGAGCGCTCCATCAGTCCTGAGAGCAATGACAGCATCTCCGAAGAACTAAACCATTTCAAGCCCATTGTCTGCTCACCATGTACTCCTCCCAAGAGACTCCCTGATGGCCGAGTGCTAAGTCCCCTCATCATCAAATCAACACCCCGCAACCTAAACAGAAGCCTGCAGAAGCAGACTTCTTATGAGGCTAGTCCAAGGATCCTCAAGAAGTGGGAACAGATCTTTCAGGAGCGGCAGATCAAAAAGACCCTTTCGAAAGCCACCCTCACCTCCCTGGCTCCAGAAACAGGGGAAGACTCACTGGTCTCTGAAGTTATCCATTCTAACAAGGAGAAGCCACCTCAGGCTTTAAATACAAGACTGGCCAGTGGGCAAGTACTCTCTGAGTGTGTAGGACCCACCCTCACTGACCTTGATTTTTTCCCATCCGTTAGCCAAACAAAAGTGGAACAGGGCAGCGATAGTAAAAGGAGCTCTGAGATCCCGTTGGAAACCTGCTGTTCCTCAGAACTTAGAGTGGGAGCCAGTGGTACTTTGGAGCCGGAGCAGAGTGAAGGGCCGGGGCCGACCCCAGATGCCAAGTTAGACAAAACCTGTATAAGCGCAACCATGAAAATCTCAGCAGCTCATTCAGCGCTACCCAAAAATAGTGTTCTGGGTGGGGTCCTCAAAACAAAGAAGCAGCTGAAGACAGCAAATCATTTTGATCTGCCTAATGGTGTGCTGGCAGACAGCCGAGGTGAGGAGCCGCTTCCTTCTTTGCGTCGGGGCCGGAAAAGACACTGTAAGACCAAGCACTTGGAACAAAATGGCTCCCTTAAGAAACTGCGACAGAGCGGTGGTGAGGTGGTCCTGGCCCCGGCAGAGCCGGTGCTGCGGGAGATGGAGCAGAAACTGCAGCAAGAGGAAGAGGACCGGCGGCTGGCTCTGCAGCTGCAGCGCATGTTTGACAACGAGAGGCGGACTGTGAGTCGGCGAAAAGGAACCGTGGATCAGTATCTCTTACGGTCCAGCAACGTGGCCGGGGCCAAGTAGCACCTAATGAACAGTGTTACCTATTTTTAAGAGGTCTTTGGGCTTGATCATTTATCCTGAAGAGCTGAGTGTTCTCACTTTGGGTTTCTTTCAATGGCAAAACACTGTCTGATACAGTTCTGGGAGGTTCTGGGGCCTTCGTAGTCCATGTCCAAGGGAACTGTGTCTCTGCCTCCCTGCGACCGAGGCCAGAAGCACTCCTCACCCCAAAGTGACCTGTCCCTGAGGGCTCCTGGGCCAAATCGGGCAGCACCCACTTGGAATGAGATTCAGGAGCACAGTGGCCAGAGTTACAAATGGTAGAGGAATGAGGGGGGATACCTTCTTAAACCGACAGACCTCCTGACTTCTTTCAACAGGGTGTTATTTTAAATCAGCCTTGCAGATAAACATTACTTCCATCTGTGTCGTAGAAGTGGATCTGCGTTTTGGCAGATTCCAAAATGATTGTGTTCCCTTCTCCTTATCCATGCCACAAGTAAATGTACCTACTGAAATTGGTTGAGTTTTTCCCTTCTACAAAAGTTAATTTACCTTCCCTGTTTAAAAAGTAACGTTTGATTAATGCTATATAGTTGACAGACCACATTGAGTCACTGTTGGATTTGGTCTTCTCAGGAGTGCTAACGTGTAAGCGGTGTGAGCCCCATTTTAGATGATGGAGCTGCAGGGCACGTGTTCAGATTCTCTCATTTACTAGGTGGAACATCCCAGACTGACTGTTGGGTCTCCCGACAAGAATTCCCATAGATTTTCCACACTGACAGGTTGCTGTAATGGATTGTGACCCAAGGAGCCTAGGGAAGCTGGCTGGGCATGTGAATACTGATTGTGCAAAATCCATAGGCAGATCATTGAGATTGACGGGAAGTACAAACAAATATTATGCAGTTATCTTCCCTTCTCCCAGCACAGTTTACCCTTTTGTTTTCTTGGGGGTGGGGCGGAGGAGACAAAGTACACCCTGTGAGACAAAGTACAGTTGAGCTTCCTTACTACTCTCTACGTGTCCAAGAGTTATCTGCAATGTTGATCTAAAATCCAAAACAATTGCCCAGAAGTCAGGTAAGAGCAATGCTGAAACTCCATACTATGGAAACAAGGTATCTAGCTGGATGCAGCTGGTAAATTCAGTCCCATGGACCTTTGGGGTTTATTTTCCTTAGCAGCTGACACCATGTGTCTTTTGCATCCCTGGTGGTGCTTGGTGCTTCTGCCCGTCTGGGCTCATTGAGAATAGGGATTAAGATATGATTTTAGGGAATCTCAGATGGACTGGCGTTCCCTGTGCATGTATGAGCTGTTACTATAAAGTCATGTGACTGGCATTTTAACAAAGGCTTTAGAGCTTCTATATCCCAGTGTATGTTGTCTCCCTTGAGTGGCCCCAGCAAGATACCACATAGTTTTCTAATGATGTTGCCATTGGCAGAAACATTTCTGGAACTCTCCTCAAAGTCTAGAAACGTCTAGAAATATAGACTCCTAAAATGTTAGAATTGGAAGGGACCTTAAAGGTCATCTATTCCAACCTCCTCCTCTTACTGAGGCAGAAGCTAAGATTTGGAATGGTGACTCACTGATTACTAGGGATTTACTACATCACCTTCTTTTGATTCCTCCCGGGAGATTTGCCCCTTCTTCTCTGGACAAATCTTTAATCTTTTGTGGTTATAGAAGGGAGAATTTTAAGTTTGAAACTTAAACTTCCAGAGGCTATTTGAAGCCTCTGGAAGAGAAGGTAGGTCAAGAGGGTTTGGAGTCATAGATGAGGTACAGCCATAAAGCAGCTATTTTCTTCTGCTCCTAAACAGTTCCCAGAGAGACGTTCCAGAGATGTCTTAAGCATTCTGGTCATCATGGAGATATGTGGAGGCTCCTCAGTGACTACGTTGGTGGGAGTGTCACTCGAATGTATGTGTTCTGTGTGTCTGTGTGCGTGCACACATGCAAATGTATGTTTAAACATGCACCAATCTCATTACTTTATATTCACACCACTTCAGTTCTAGGCCCTGCCAGCAACATATGTCTCCAAAGGCTGCTGGAGGGTTGGTACCCAAGACAGAAGAGCTGGTGCTGGTGCTGGTCTGCGGAGTAAGAGGAGGGTGACTTAATGCCCTTAGAGAAATCATCAGTTCCTGCCATTTCACACAGTTCCCCTTGGTTCGGAGTACATAATATCGGAAGGCTAGTCTCGTTGGTGGTAGCAAAGACACTTATTTTTCCACTTGCCACCTTTTTCTATATCTCCAGTAATTTGAAAAACATTTTGGTTGGAACTGATTTTTGTTTTTGGAAAAAAGATAAATATTTTTAATAGAAAAAGATATATATTTTAAATATTTCCCCCAAAGTACTACTTTCATTTTAAGAAATTGCATAGCAGTAGCAACAAATTTTAGTTTCAGGTGCAGAGTGAAAAGCTACTTCCTGTTAAGTGAACATTCCAGACGCTGGATCCAACTTACTTTCCCCTTTGCACCTACTGTTGTGCCTGGAATGGTATCAACAATTGTTGTTTTCCAAACTTCCAGCTGAGCAGTAGCCCTTCACACAGAGGCAAAGTGGTTTAGGTTAAGGAGCGACAAGGCTTCACCTCTGATCTGCTCGGCTTTGGAGGAGGAAAAAACCACTAAGGTATTATCTGTATTTTAAAATGCTTCCCTTACTTAACTAAAACCTGAACACTTTTTGCTTCTGAAAGAATTCTGTGTCCTGTTGCTCGCTTGCTTGCTTGTGAAGTTTGTCACAAATGGAGTTGTCAATGTGAATTATTTGGAGACGGAGAAAGACAAGAAAAGGAAAATAGAGCGATGGGAGGGTTTGTGGGCTAGAATGAGAGAAATACCATTTCACAAAACAAACATTTCTCATGAATCATTGGAATCTGATTCACCCTACAAATTTCTCATGCCCTACTAACTCTGTTCTTTGTGTATATGCATTCTGTGTTTTTCATTAAAGGGGAAGTTCTGAGAGGTTGGAGGATCAAGGTCATTCTGATGGGAAGTCCAAGAAATGCGGTGCCCTGGGAAGGGGGAGCTCAGCCCTTTTCCATAGAGTGGGAGAGACACTTTGGGAACATGCTCATGACCCGTTGATTGTATCTGCTGGAAGAAGTCATCTGGGCCTGTTGGGTTGGTGTCAAATCAGGCGATTAAGCATCCAGCCCTTGGCCCCTTTCGTATAATTGCCTCTTTTTAAAAGGTTAATTCGCCTTGGCTGAAGCTTCCCAGGAAAACCCTTTGTAAGTGGCTTCATTTATTTTTTTAATTTAATTTTTAGACTTTTGTCTGGAGGAAGAACTGGTGATGAATGCCTTCTGTTTTTTTTTTTTTTCTCATTTTTCCTAAAAGAAAAAAATGCCCTTAAGGATTAAAGCTGCTTAATTAATTGCTGTCTGATTACAAAGTGACAAACTAAGATGGGAAACTGCCACTGTGCTTGACTGGTGAAGCTGATGACCGAAGGCTGTGCCGTTCATTCTTTCTGTTCCATTCAGACATTCCTGAGCTTCGTTCGAACTTGTGCCAACCCTGTGCTGGGTCATGGAGATACAAGGATGGAAAGGACAGTCCCTGCTCCTAAGAAGCTCAGCCTCTAATGGAATGTATTTGAAGGTATATGTGGCTGGAGAGTTTGTTCATGCTCGTGTGAAAGGCCACTTCTTCATAGTGATGATCTTGGATGGAGTCATTTGAGATACTGTCCAGCACCTGACAGGCTGCACTGAACATTTTAGACACCCCCATCAGTATTTCTCAATTTGATTGCAACACTGCTTTCCATTTCCTAATTTTATCAGAGGAGAATGAATTTTCTCCTCCAGTGATACAGGACAATAATTTCTCTTCAGGAGCTGCTTTTACATAAGCTCCAGGAAATGAGGCAGGGTGTGGATCATTGACATGGTCAGAGGAGGCCCACATCCCACCTTACTGATCTCCTAACCTCTCTCCCAACCAGACCTCTCACCAGAGCTGGCAGCAACTTTGGATTCCTTTCCTTTTTCCTGCCTGGCTTATCATTGAGATGGAAAGCCAACAGGAGAGGAAGGAAAGAAAAACTGAAGGCTGGATTATAATCATAAAATGCTGTAGCTGGAAAGGGCATGGAAATAACTCAGATCAAACTCACCTACCTGCTTCCCCTTTTTTTTCCTAATAAGGAACTTGAGGTCCAGTGCTTTATGCCCTGTTGACACTGTAGTTTCCTAGGATCTAGTCTTTTTAAGTTACACACACACACAATTTGCTAACGAGGAGGACACCCAAATGATATAGGAAGCTTTTTGTTTTAATAGCTTTTTTCTTCTAAAATTTTTCAGAATTAAAATAGGCCTCTGTCCCCTGAATACATACCCAGATAGGGGAAACCCCATAATGTGACTAATGTGAATATGGAATCTTGGGAAGTGATATATTTTGATTGGAATAGTCATCATTTTAACCACCAAGGGTTAAAACTATGCCAGCCCTTCATTTTTCTTTGAAAAAATTAAGAACTCCTTAGGGACTTAAATCTTTCTCAGCCAGCCTTTTCCCCCATCAACCAAAAGAGTGGTATTCAGCCTGGTTTTTAGAAGTGAACATAGTTGCTTATAAATTCTTGTGAGTTAGTGACAAAGCAGGTATGTTTTTTTGGGTCAGGGAGATTCTAGGGAAAGCTGCTGTTGAATAGATTTTGCTCCAAAGATGATATAGAAAATGCATCTTTATACGTGATTGTTACCCACTGTAGCTTTCTGAAGAAGATCGTTCTATAGGAAAAAGAGACATAAGCAGAGGTCACAACCAGTTTAGAGATCAGTTAAATTGGATGAAGAAAAAGTGCCAAGACTGAATGTGCACATTGTTCTATGTATTATCAGTATTTTTATTCTTCCTAAGAAAAATATTTACACACTTTGCTTTGTGAGTAAATGCTTCCTTAATGTCTTGTTAATAAGCATGGCAGGCTCCCTCTCTACCTTTTCTGGTGTCTTAAATCAACTGGTT